CACCTTACTCGCTCTTATGAGCAATTGGTAATACCCCATCGACCAAGTCGGGTGCACTGCGCTTGTACAGCCAACCATATTATACTGGAGAACACCCTTCCTTGGCATCGGCTTCTGTGCCAGAACGGTGGCAGCGTTTAGCTTATTGAAAGCTTGAACGATACGCTATTTGCCGTTTGGCTTCCGGACACAAAATGCGGGTGTCGAATGGGAATACTTGCTCTCACGCACCAATTCTGCGTCGCGCTTCGCGCAAAAAGGCGTCAATGACGTCACACCACTCCTTGGGCTGGATCCATTGGCGTGTTACGCAGTTTTTGGTTTCCGGAACCAGGTCGATCTCATGACATACACCTCAGTCCGGAATTAGGACCGACGGCGGATCTTTGGAGACGAGGTCTAAATATTTCTTTACCAAAGTAGTATACGGATCCGAGGGATCCTTCAGGCTCAACGATTCACTTTGTGCGTTTAGCGTTCGTTTGGTGTCCTCCAGAACAGCTTCATCTAGAAGCGAAATTTCCTCGTTCGGTACTATACTGACCACCTCGGCTAAATTGCCTGCCTTCAAGGCACCGCCAAACTCTTCAAACGTGTCTCGTCCAGCTCACGAAGAGTATATAACGCAGGAATAGCCTCGAGGGTGACGTCGTCGTCTCCTTTCCCGTCCTACCGTTGACATGGGTATATAGCTGTGCGCTATCGTCTACGGTAGACACACCCTGAGTTAGGGATTACGCCCTACGTCTTGCAGATATCATACCTTTTCGCCATCTCTTCTCTTTAGAGGTTTTACGTCTCAATGAGACCAGTGGGTACACATACTCGGCGTCACCCAGTGTACCCACTCCCTGCTCCATCGGAACCTTGATGTTATTAACAACATCCGACAAAGAGCTGTTATTTCCGCAGTCTTCTTCCAGTGGATAATGTGCCACTCCACGCGCATCAGAAGGGCCTTACCGAAGGATTTTCGGACCTTGTTCGATAATGCCACTCTTGGCATCCAGCAACTGCTTCGAAACGTAAGCAGTGCTCAGTGGATTACGTGCCACTTGCCCTTGATGCCTCAGACCTCGTCCAACTATGCCACAGCTGCTGCTCTGATACTTGAGCAGTGCTCAGTGGGTTACGTGCCATTCTAGTTGAGCCGCGAGCCATGCTCGGGACTCTTGTCCGATACACCTTCGGTGTTCGACAACTCAAATACTCCGATATCAGCACTTTACCGCCCAGTCCAGTGCCCGCGCCAAAAGCATTTCTGCTTCCTAGCAGAGGTAAGTTCATGACTCAAAAACGCTCCACCAGGAGACGTGCGCGTAGCGCCCAACGTCTTGACCTCCAATCAATTCACGACTTCATGGTGTTTTAACCTTCATAGGATGAGATCGCATCTTGAACCCAAGTCTAAGACCAAGCAGTATTCCAAACTTTCAAAGTCAAGAGACATGACACCGAGATTCGTAGGGATCCTCGGCACAATGACACAAGTCCACGTCACAAAGTAAACAGTGACGGTGTCACTCAACCGTGCTTTCAGCGCCTCAGCATACAGCTGACTTCCTTTGATCGTGGAGCGTCGAGCATAATTGCATATCGCCCCGAAACTAATAAGGATCTTCCATGGCTTATCAAAGCCCTTCACGGTCGCTTTTAGGACCAGCAAGCCCGACTTGCATCCAAGTTCCGTGTTCAGGAGCTCGGAGCTCTTTGTGGCTGGTCCCTGCTGCCCACTACCTCTTTGAAGCGCAGCAGGACTTAATTCTTCCCCAGTAGGACGCGGGGTGCCCTACTGGCTATTATCGTTTCCCCGCGACAAACCAGACTGGTTAGAAAAGGGACGTCGGTTCGATGAACCTTGACGCGCCTTGCGCAGGGGACAACCAGTCCAAATGTGACGGGTGTCACCACAGACATAATTCCGTCGGGTGATCGAATGCTGCCCGGCAGCTCGAAGCTCACCCTCCTTTTTCTCTGCATCCGCGAGATTCATTGGCTCAGTCCGCTCGTCGAGCTCTGAGGGTGTGCATTCCAACGAGGTCGTGCCGACTTAAAGTTGAATTCGGCATTCAATGCCACATTCACCGCATTTTCAAAAGAAGACGGATGCACACGGAAGACCTCCATTCTGGTCATGCCAGTGCGGAGACCCACAATAAATATGGTCACTGTGACCGACTCGTGGAGAGGATCGGCTGCCATCCCAGCACGTATCGCATGCGATATGCCTGATTACGCGGCGAGAACACTCGCAGAAGCTGACACTTTAGTCCCTTCCAGGAGAGGAACGCAGTTACAACCGAAGCATCGCACGTTAATGCCCATTCTTGCGCTCGGCCCCCGAGCTTGGAGATAGTTAGCGTCACGCGCTGTTGCTCGTTTTGGAGCATGGCGGTTGTCATAGCCATCTCGACCTCGCTCACACAGAGCACGAGACCGCTTCATCCTTACCATCAAAGGTCTTAACGCTCACCATAAGCGGTCTGGGTTGGAAATAGTCATCGGTCGTCGACGGTGGCGTCATGGACGCTACCGATGCCGACATCTTCTTCTCTGGGTGCTCTAGCAGCGCATTTTCATTATTCGAAAACGCCTCTAAGCGCGTGTTTATCGCTTTGGCCCTTGCAGAACAAAGTGTTTTTCGCCGTAAGGGCCAAGCAGGGACATCAGCTTATCAAGCCCGTCCTGTAGCCCTGGGGCGAATTGGAGAATTGCTCCATCCTCACAAAGGATCAGTCGTAACGATTGAGGTGTAGATTGACAACAAGTGCTGCCAAGTGCAGCGGGGCTTCCGTAGCTCTTTCGCTAAGAGAAGCTTACTAAGGTCACCGACCTTTCATTCTATACCAGAACCAGTACGAGAGTAGCGGATCGCAATCTGCTACCTCCAAAAAACTTCAGAACCTTAACCAAGGCATAGACGCTCTTCCAATCAAAATTGAAACTTTATTTAATTGTGGCAGAGCCGTATATATCGAATACCTTAGGTTTTTCGAATTAAATAGTAAATCCTAATTGATATGCATAACTACTGGCAGTCCTACCACGTAGTGGTTTCTTGTTATGGTGCAGCCACACCATTGTGTGATTGTACCGACTTGTGTAATCCAGCTTTGTACGGTCACACCCATCGTGTGTGTCCCATTCTTTCATACAAGAGTACGTGTAATCCCGTTACACTCTGGGCGCGTGTAACTCCGTGACAAAATCCGTGGGACACGTGAGCAAGTCTTGACTCGGTTTGAGTAAGCCTGCGTACGCCACGCAATATGATTGCAACTCATTATTGTATTGCCAAGTGTTTTAATTGGTCAAGAGTGTGAGCAGTTCGATGCAGCGAGGGCAAAACGCACTCGTAAAGACTGGAGACACTGCATGCGTAGGTAAGTTGACAGTGTTAAATTTGACCTTATTACATTTAATGAATCTTTCGCCAGCTTTTAGCATCTGCATGTTTCCCCTGCAGATATTATCTTCAGCCATAATATCGTGTGCACTTAACACAAGATGATATATATCTTCAAGATGATTCAGAGTGTATCCGGGGTGATATCAGCAAGTTAAATCAGATCGACCCCCACCCAAACCGGAGCTACTTCGCAGAGGTGCCAAAGAGACAAAGGGATTGATTAAATCACTTATCTGAAACGGCACACACTCTTTAGATGTATGTATTGCTTCACTTTACACGTATTGACACTCGATAACCGTAAGCATTCAGCACCACAGTCTCACCAAATTCTTGAAAGATACCGTCCATCATGCAATAAGCGTTTACGTGTATGTATAAATCAACATATTAGACAAAATCCACTGCGTCCCAGAGCGTAAAAATGCAGTCACTTTTGAAACTGATCTTTACCCGTTGACTGTTGAGTTTTGGGATGGAGGCTTTTAGTATCATCGTGAGATGCATTAAAAAAGAAATTTGTCAAGCTATTTGAGCAACTTCAGGAATTGAAATAGACAATTAGGACTGTCCGTAATTTAGAGAAAGCTACCAAATGTAACCAAAATAGTTACAAAAATAATTTTAATAAATTTGGCAATTACGATTTAAATTTAAGCAATATATCATTGACTTATTCATATTTGATTAAATAGTAAGGAATGTGATAGTAGTAGCGGCTGCACTACGAAAACGGATGAAAGAACACAAACACGCAGCAAATCTGAACTAAGCGTCGCTAATAAAGTCTAGAAAGATAGTGTAACCGGTACATTGCGGAGAGATTCACTTGTTCGGTCTTCATCTATTATATGCACATTAACAACCTCTTGACCATAAGATCGAGATCTGACTCAACTCACTAAGTCTGTTCTCTTTATTCACAGAGAGAAAGCGCCATAACAACAAAGCTAAGACCTGAAGATGTCGACGAATCGCTTTTTGACCAATCGATTCGGAACCATACTGACTACATAACTGACGTGGGTACGGTGCAGCTGTCCACACTGCGCAGTTCTTGCTCATATCAAACATTTTTATACCCACAAGTGTTTGAACCGAGTAATTTTGAACATATGTTAAATGCCATAAAGTAAACCTTCTGACGGTATAAAGCGTATGCTTAGCATCGTAACGCTGACTCGTTACGACTAGAATGCCAGACGCCAAGACGAAACGAACGGTCGTTTGGCGAATCGTTGTTTTGCCCGTTGGAATGAATTTAGAAAGTTTTATAGGTTGATACATTTAGAACATGAGCAGTGACGTGTTAAGCTTGGAACAATGATGGTGATGATCCGATCCATTACATAGTCCAACCGTCTTTTATACTACATACATATCGTCCATTTTAATAATAAAGGGATTTGTAATAGAATAAATCAATAGAAGGCTATCCATGTACTTCTTTATCCATATATTGAATACGTGCCAGTTGCCTGTTCTGTTCGACTATCTATTTCTAATTGCCCGTTTCCGACCGGCTGCATCAAGTTTTCTGAACACTTTCGAATTGGCGTCGTAACTAAACCAGCACCACTTTTATTTCAACATGTGTAAGGTGGAGAAGAATACTTTGCCGTCTATGGCTTCTGTGGAACCTCAGAGCACAAAACCTCAGTTTATCAAGGCATTTGAACCACAGCATGACTTCCATTGGACGCCAACGGACGAACCACATGCTACGCGCCGCAAACTCATTATGGCGAAATACCCAGAAGTGAAGAAGCTTTTTGGTCATTGCTGGAAGACCAAGTACTTGGTTGCGGCAACTGTGACATTGCAGACATACTTGGCACTTTATGCGCAGTATATGTCGTGGCCTATTTACCTCGTTCTCATGTACTGCATCAGTGGTACAGCCAATCATGGAATGATGATGGCCATGCACGAGGTTTCGCACAATTTGGGGTTTAAAAAACCATTGCACAATCGATTACTCGGTGTCTTTGCCAACTTACCCATTGGCGTCCCGTCGTCCATTTCTTTTAGACGGTATCATCTTGAACACCATCGATACCAAGGCGAAGACGGTGTGGATACGGATCTCCCCACGGAGTTTGAAGCTAAAATCTTCACAAACAAATTCTCCAAATTTGTTTTTGTTGTCTTTCAACTCTTCTTCTATGCTGGTCGTCCGCTTTTTGTGAATCCAAAGTCACCTGGTATGTGGGAGCTCTTTAACGCCGTCACATGTTTTTGCTACAATTATGTCATTTACTTCTACGGTGGCCTTTCAGGGCTATTATACCTTCTCTTGGGTACATTACTGGGTGCTGGCGTTCACCCTGTAGCAGGCCACTTTATTGCTGAACATTACGAATTTATCTTGGGGTACGAAACGTATTCGTACTACGGCATTTTAAATCGTCTCACGTTCAACGTTGGGTTACACAATGAACATCACGACTTTCCGTTTGTTGCTGGCTCTAGATTGCATGAGGTGCGTGCATTAGCGCCCGAGTTTTACGAGAATCTACCGAGTCACGACTCATGGATCAAGGTGATGGTAAATTACGTCATGGACGACAATGTAAATGCATATTCACGCGTGAAACGCCACAATCTTACGAAAGACGTGAAAGACAAACTTAAAAGCGAATAGAATAGACGCTTTAATGCTATTTGAATCGTCGTTCGAATGTAGAGGTAGCAAACACGAATGATATACCTGCGTCATCTGTATCTGTAACAAATCTAAAGGGAAAGTTGACTCTGCTATTTCAATAATTTGTTTGTTGGACACAATACAGAAATCTCTACGTCGGAGACAGAAAAACGACTCACCAAACGGTCATTCGTTATCAACGAACGGTGATCCGTTATTATGAAGTGGCTATCCGTTTCCTCTTTTATCAGCAGTTGATAATCTAATCGATAGACAAATGTGTTGATTTTTCTATCCATCGAAAGTTGTATCATCGTTTGTAGAAAATCAGTGTAGTTCAAGAACTCGTAAGCTTCGAAAGGTCGATATGAGCAAAAACTGCGCGATCTTGACCGCTACCCCATACTGATATCACCTTTGAAGTCAGCACGATTCCGAAACAATCGTATGAAAGATTTACAGTCCTCGCGCTCCTGTTCCTATGCTTTATTGCGTTGTCATTCTTTAATCAGCAAACTTCAGCTTATTTTAAAAATAACGTAGATGTGGTCTACAGCAATCATCTCCATATTTTTGGTGCCTTTGACGTCCTCCATCTCGAGTATTTGTATAAAAAACTTTACTCTACCACAAACCGGATCATCCGTGAAGGTACATCAGCAACTTGATCTTCCATGCAGCCGGTATCCCACGTGCTTGAGTTTGTAAGTGCCAACTTGTTAACTGCGTGGGATAGAATTGCTGCAAATCGTCTTTCCGTTCCGACGCATGTACTTTATTGGTTAGGTTTGGCTTCTCTTCAAATTGTTCAACCAGGCTAAAATTATTTCGACCGGCTTTTCTCTATTTCTCCATCAAAAATTCTGTAGAGCCACACAGCATGTTCACAAATATCCGAGACAAATGACGGAAGCGCTCTAATCGAAAAACTCGGTCACAAAAACCTCATTACGACGCTAGCGGATATTTAAGCAGGAAAACCAGAGACCATACATGTAACAACTGCGGTCATATCGGAAACTACGCATCTAAATGTCATACAAAAAGATCCTTACATTAAGTATGTCGGTGGATCAATTCTTGCAAAGTCACTTACGATTGGGATCATTAATGCACACGAAAATTTAAAGTACCAAGGGCGTAAATACCAGCAAATTCAGCTGCAATTTCATTCCATTGATCAAAGTATAGGCTGTTTTAAAAGAAGAAGATGTCCCTGGTATAGGCTGCACATGATGACGCATTGCTACACCGTCTTCTGCTACGCAGGGACATATACTAAACAGATATTTTAAGATGGTTCTAGTTTCAATATATGTCACTCGAGCAAAAAATTCTCAATTCTGTACCAATGCTTTCATTCTCGCCTTGCATGGAGACCAATAGCTTGTCTCTCGACTTCAAACTTTCGAGAATGGCCGAGTTGATGAATATATATGCCTCGCCTACCCATGTCGTACTAGAGCATTTCATAAGAAATGAATGCCTTCAGATGAGCGATCATTGCTTTCAACCCTCTGCGACTAATTGTGCCACCCCATCAAGACCGACCAAAAGGCAGTGCATTTTAAGCGTGCCTTGCTATCAGGCCCGATACGTGAGCATAGCAAATTTCATTCTCGCAGAAAATGCAGTCTTATTCAGACTAGTTCGTCGTAACAGGCGACAAGCATTGGATACTCTTGTCTCTACGAGTCCCAACTGACCCGTTCAAATTGAAACGTGTGTCCAGCATTTCACGTGACTTTCACCGCAATCCGGAGTGGAGCTGAGTGGACGAGGAAGTTTTCGATGAGTGAAAATATAGTATTTATCATCGAATGACAACATTGGTTAAATCTGATTCAGCGGTGCAAATTACCGCGACATTGGTGGGGTGTGTAGTGTTTGAAAAGGATGCTACGGGCGGCGACCTTTATATATATATATATATATACGTCTATCTTTTTAACAGTGCGCGAGGCTAGCAGCCATGTGTCTAGCAGCCATGTGTCCTATAAACCTCTCCTTTACAAAGTACCATCGATCTCATTCCTTTGTTCTAACCTCGAAGGGCAGTGCACGTATACCTGAACTGTGTATTAATTATGTTTGCCGGTAGAAAACGAGCGATCATGGGATTGCAGTCTAGTATCTATTGATTCGTACGCGAACGACCTGCTATTTATTCATCTACTTATGTGAATAGAGCAAGGTAAATCTAGTTACTCGTTCATGACCAGTGTATTTTCAGAATATCCTGTAACTAAATTGCAGTTTTCTCAAAATTAGCCCCAGTGATCATGTTGCATGGATTGACTGAACTTACTTGTTCATACTATCTTTTCATTTGATTACTTTACGTTTTATTTGCCCTAACTTGTCATATTGTGTGTCATACACCACTAATGTCTAGATGACCTGCCTGTACATGAATCAACTCTCAACATGAATCCAGACGTGCTGAATGATGACAAGGAAATGTCCTCGAGTTTGATGGTCTGTGATTTCATTGACCATCCCAGATTTTCCTTAGCCATACGTTAATAAAGCAATGACAATAGTTTATAATCTTATCACCTCCGTGCTTATAGTGTGATATTCGGTCCGCTTAGGTGCGAAATTGAGCGCTTAGGACGTCTATACAAGTAAAAACGGTGGAGCGAGCGGACGAGCACTGATGGCCGACACGAAACGCGTGTTTGTGCAGTTAGCAAATGCTCGGGACTCACAGATTGAAGTAGGCGCACCCGTCATGGCGTTTGTCATGCCTACCGACTCATGGCTTGCGGTCGTCAACGAATTTCTCATGGTGCTCAAAACAAATATGACTTAGACCCACTTGAGAGATCTCCTCTTATAATAACTAATGAGATTGTACGACTTGATGTGATATTTGTATAGAGCTGTAATGATGACGATATCGAAGTTGTGCAGCGGCCACCAGGATTGCTGGAGAAATGCGTTGTTTTACATGCAACATCAATGCAGCGAATCACAGACCCATCTGACTGTGAAGATGGCAAGCAGTATATTTTGTGTATGAATGCAGATGATGCTGTAGAGTTGCAAAAGCAGAGATTTGGGAATAGTAGTGCTAGCAGTGTCACTGGTACATGTGATACTAACGCGCTGGCTCGCGGCAGCATTGCGCTAACAGACCAATTAGAATCATTGGAAGAGCTCGAGTATTATTTTGACGAATCTGGTACATTACGTCACTGTCGCACAAATCATGCCGTATACGAGCTTATGAGTGACGAACGTCGTGCTGGTGAGCTGGACGAAATTGTGAAGGCTGCAATCTTTCACATACAAATGGAAATGCTGGCAGAATTATCATTCAAACAGGCTCGACTGCCATTAGATCCAAGACCAGATGAGCCTAAGGAAGCTCGAGTTAGTATCTTTCTTACATCTGATTGGCGCACAAATGAGAATTTACTTGTCGTTGTTAATGGCGGACGTGGAGCTCAACCTGGAATCTGGAGTCGCGATTTATTAATTCAAGAAGGTTTGGAACTCGGATCGATGTTGCCAGTCATGCGTCGTGCAACTGCTTGTACCTTTGGTGTTGCTGTGATCAATCCATCTAAAAACAACGTGACTATTGGAAATGATACATTTCCAATTCGAGGCAATGCGACACCAGATGAACATATGCTGTACGTGTGGGATCATATTATTGCTCGTGCAAAAGCACGCAATGTGTACGTTCTAGCCTATTCATTTGGGGCCAAGTCTATTGTAACACTCATTCAGAAACGAGAAGAACAAGTCGTTAAGCGCATAAATGCACTCGTGTTTGCGGAAGGTGCATACCGTTTAGACATGTCCACGACCTCTCCGAGTGTAGCTCAATTTTTAAAGCGACGTGCTATTAACTTTAAAGGTGATTCTCAAGTTGCTGTCGGTGGACATATTCCTGCAGAAGAAGAAAAACTTTCTTGTATTTGTTTATCTGTGGGAGATCTCACGGTATCTGCAGACGGTAAAGCGTCACCAGCTGCAACTCCAACCTCTGCGCTTTCCAAACGCGGTAGCAGCAACAAAGCACGTACGATCAGCCTCTCACTGGAAACAACGTTTACGTATTTTGTGGCTGCGCGTGATCGGGGCTGTAGCGCCGCCGAATTTATCTCTGAGTCAGAAGCCAAAACACGCACATGGCTTGGAAATGTAATTCGTCATCGATTAGACTCTTTAAAACCAAGAAAACAAAGTCGTCGTCTTAGTGCAGCCTTGGGTATCAATGCGAGCGAGTCGCCTCATCATCGGAAAACAGCTCGTCGCTCTTCCTTAGACACGGACGCAAGTTCGTCGGCTATGCGCGCATCAATTGTGAGCAGTCGAGGTAGTCACACATCCAGTCATCATTCACAAGGAGTGTCTGTTAATGATTTCGAATTGATTAAAGTGATCGGCAAAGGCTCGATTGGAAAAGTATTTCTTGTTCGGAAAAAGGATACACACGTTATGTATGCCATGAAAGTATTACGCAAGAAAAATGTTATGCGTCACGGATTGGAAGAACACATCAAGACGGAACGTCTTATTCTTGAAGAGATTGATCATCCATTCATTGCAAGATTGCGCTTTTCATTCCAAACAAAGGATAAATTATATCTTGTGACAGATTATTGCTCTGGTGGTGAATTATTTCATCATATGTCAGATGATGGATTTTCGTATGAATTGTCACGATTTTATGCGGCGGAACTTGTGTTAGGGCTGGAACATCTACACCATCTTAAAGTTGCGTATCGTGACTTAAAGCCAGAAAACATTCTTGTTGAAGCGTCTGGTCACTTGCGAATCACTGATTTTGGATTATCCAAGCTTAATGTCGTGTCAGATAAAGGCGCACAGACGCTTGTGGGTAGTCCAGAATATCTTGCCCCAGAAGTATATAATATGCAGAAATATGGATATGCGGTTGATTGGTGGTCGCTTGGTGTGTTTCTGTACGAAATGTTGACAGGATCGCATCCATTTCTCGATGACAATCGCGAGAAAATGGTAAAAAAAATTATGACGCCGGGGTCTGTACTCACAATGATGCCACCCGAAATGCCTCAAGATGCTGCATCGTTAATTTCTGGCTTACTTACATTTAATCCAACTGAGCGCCTTGGATCACGTGGTGCTCGTGAACTTCGCGATCATCCGTTTTTTGCGGGCGTTTCGTGGGATGGATTGATGCGGCGTGAGGTGACACCACCATGGCATCCAGTTGTACACGATGAACTGGACGTTGGCAATTTCGATGCAGAATTCACGTCAGAGCCTGTCGTTGATAGCGTGTGCACGCACCAATCGATGGTACTTAATTCGACATTTACTGACTTTACATTTAACCCTAGTATCTCGGAATGCAATAAGGTTTAGAATTAAGACTGTTCAAACGTTGATTTAATGTAATCAAATCTATGTGTTTTACGATCTAGTACATACTAATTTTAAAATATACAAATAAGAGGTAAAATTCAATATACAAACTAAAACTTTTTAGATGCTGAAAATGAAAAACCTCGTCGACATAGTCAATTAAAGTTCGATGAAGTACGTCTGTAACGGGTTTGATGGCGTTGACATGTTCTATCCAATGGCAAAAAAGTAATAACCGCCGATATAACTGCACGTTATTATGACACAAAGAATTCGTAACCCGCTCGGATGAAGACACTTTTGATAGCTTACGAACGTTACATGCAGTATCGAAATGAAGGTGAATTTTCGAAATGCAGTCGTCAGCGCAAAGCTCCTATGCACCCTTTCGCCACAACGATGGAAAGACTGTGCACTATATTATTGTTGTTCTCTTTATTACGTCAATTCACTGTGTCACATGCGTGCAAAATGACAGAAGAATGAAAATAGATCAAGCAAAAAGATAGTAGATCAAATTGTTTTCAGTATAAAGGTCACTAGCAGTTTCAAAACGGTTTAAAAGGGCGAAAGCAGACCACTGGTGGTCATTTGATCTTGGCGGCGAGAACTCTCACTATATTTAACTCTCAATCCTCCTTTATCTTGCACACGCCAAGAGAAACGAGCGCAACACGTCAACTCTAGTAATCAACGTCTTCACGTATACTTGAGCACACATCCTGCGCCTTTTCATCGCGTCATTCGGATCGCTCTGCCCTTTTTCCCGAAATCTTAGTCGAACTTTCGTATAAGAACATATAGAATCCACCGGTTTTGATTTATTTCACTATCTAAGTGGAAGACTTTCACCAACAACGGATTTCATTACAATGCTCAACATTCAACTGCCTGAGCACTCGACAATTAAAATGGATACCGGGTCTCCGTCTTCACCATCCGAAGCTCCGCAAGCTGATGACCTCGCCGCATTTTTAGAAATCGGGTCGCCCTATGGTTTTAAACATGACGTGCATATTCACTACAACTTTCAAGAAGCAAGATTTGAGGGCATTCCGGATAATTTTGCCGATTATTTGGTCATAGGAGCGTCGGAACGAGGACGTGCAGAAACGGTTTGGTCTTCAGAAGCATCAATGTCTTCGGAAGTGAAAAGCAGACGTCGTTCAAAAAGGACTCGTGCGAGTTCTGCTCCATCTGAAAGCTTGAGATTATCCAGCATCATTGGCAACATTGACATGATCAATAGCAATGATCCTGTGCGAATAATAAATCAGCATTTCAAGCTGTCACACCGACAAGTTCCACGAATTGCTGTTCCCGGCTACGACGAGCGAATTCCAGCTGTGCTCGTTATGATGCAACAACACTTTGTAGCGAAACAGGGACATTTGTCCCCTCATATCTTCCGCGAGTCTCCCAGTAAAGCGGAACGAGACCAGGCCATGGTCGACATCAATTGCGGAGCCTTTCGAGGAGCACAACACGACGTTCGAGTGCTCGCTGATCTGATCAAACTCTGGTTTCGAGAGCTTCCAGAGCCTATTTTGCACGAAATTCATGCTAGTGAAATGGAACGCTTAGCTTCAGCCAAGAACGTCGACATTGAAGTATTGAGCCTGCTAGGAGACCTGGAATCAAGCATTATACTTTGGCTAGCGGATCTATTGTCTTTTGTGGCCGACTATCAAGCGCACAATCATATGGGCGTGGACCAACTCGCTATCGTCATTGCACCAAACCTCGTGCGTCTTGAAACTGAAAATCCCATGGTTGCTGTCGCTCTGTCAAAGGCTGTTGTTAATCTTTTTCGAGGGGTATTGCGAGCTCGCTTTCAACGCCGTCAAGAGTTAAAGTCTACTAGAATGATCGAGAACGATGTCTAGCAACAGCTTGTGTTACTTAATCGTGTGTCTAGCAGCTTGTATTCTGGTATGAGTGTGAAGCCAAAAATGATTGGATTTGACACACAAACCAGTGTGAACGGTGTAATTGATCCGTTTTTAAGTACGATGGTAAATAATACTACATCAATTTACAATTAGAAGTTGATAAGTCCGTCCCTCGAACATAGTCCTTCGACTTTCCTCCCAATATTTTCTTGGGCTCGACCGCATTCACATAATCAAGCGATGTTCATGGCGTCATGTAAGCTTCCATATGATGCGCATGAGTGGCAAGGTTTCGGCAGAACTGAATGGACCAATAGTTTTGTAAACAACGTTCGAAAACTCCGCGCTGAATACTCGAAGCTTCGTGCCTCGCCATGCCTCAACCGCTAAAACAGGATATGCTTTCTTACTTCACCACTTCGCTAACAACTTGAACGCCAGAGACTGGTATACTAACGTGTTCAACCGCACAATTTGCCATTCTTCCGAGACACTATTACTGATTGCACTTGGGATACGCATAGAACAATGAGTGTCAGTATTTTGAATCAACTCAAAGAATTTTTAGCGTTATATTTCCTTTCAGATTATCCAAGAGTATTTTTTCGCATTTGAGATGATATAAAGATTGCTATATTTTTACATTACTACATTAAAGTACTATTTAGCAATAACGCGAAAGATCACTCTCGAGCATCGTCGACAAACAAAATGGATTGCGTCGTATCCTTATACTTTGCCTTGGGAGAACCATTCACAACACGGTTGTAGGCGCCAGAACCTCGATGTGATCTGGTTTTTAACATTGAGCGACCTGTCGTCAAATACAAGTAGATACATGCTGCTACAAACACCACTAAACTCATGTTCCAGCCGAGAGGAAGACCAGCACTAAGCTGCTCTGCTAGCAATTCCGATTCTATAGAAAATGTGACTTTGCGTTGAAGCGCCTCTAAATACAAGAAGGCACCTGTGAGCCAGGTAACAAGTTCGGATGGATTGCCGTGTTCATTTAAAGCTGATGATCCATGTCGAAATAGAATTGGCTCTTTTTCAAAATGATCCACAAAATAAATTCGCTCATCATCGTCCTGAACGTCGATCTGCTCGAGTAGAACAATCGTGTAGCACAAGTCGAAGCAGAGAGTGTTGAGTATCGTACTGTTACCTTCAAAGACAGAAGCATGCAACGCGCTATCCACTTCATTTTCATTTGACAATACAATGTCCTCGTACGGCTGCCGACAAATTAGATTAGCAGCATTTTGCAACGAAAGAAGAGTTGGATTTGGAAGAATAAGTAAATCCACATCTTCTCCGTTCTCTTTATTACTCAAGTATTCCAAAACGCGATGTGTCTCAAGCACTGCTTCTCTTAACACTCCCGATGCGTAGAATGATCCAACACATCGAGGTTGAGGAGTACTACCCATAACACAAAACTTTTTCGTTGGACAATCTTTTGTGCTCGAAATGACATGCGACCGAAGCAGCTCCAAGCACTTGTAAGCGTCACCAGTTCCTTCCAACGTCACATTAACACCCTCAATAATTGGGAAAGAGTGTTTGAAAAAGCACGGATGCTGCAGACCTTTCGGTGCGTCTTCTCTATCTTGATTTCGCTTTAACTGAATTACTGCCTGCTGTACTGCATGCCGTCCAAAACCTGGATACTCTTGTCCATAGAAATCGCTCATATTAAGCGCTACATTTACCTGTCGCTGTCGTCTACTACGCCTCCAGCGTTCTTTTACATCAAATACCATTTCTGCAGCATTTGAGTCTGACTCAGAGTTCGATTTACCAGCTTGGCCTCCAGCATCCACATGCAACAGTCCAAAAACTTCTACTTGTCCAGGACTTAAAGATGGTGCGACTTTTCCAGCGTAATAATTAGCTCCCACAACGTGAAAAAATCGACGCCAAGGAGCCGGCACGACGCGTAAATCTCCGCTTGAGATCACAATTCCTTCATCGTCTGAATACTTCAAAGATGGCTCGTTGAGTGCAAATGGAAAGTAGCGATCATTCTTTGCATGTGATCGTAGTTGATCAAGACGTTCGATAACACGTGACGCGGTAGACGTAGCCTTGTCTTGTGAGATCACATCAAAATCCAATTCTGTTTCTGCTACGACAAAATGTGCGAAACACAGCGCAGGATCCACCCGATTTTTAAGCCACTCCACCGCCAGCTCGAAAGCAGGTCGCAATATCTGATGTGCCTCATCTACTTTTGTTTTTTCGTCTTGAGAAGATGTTGAAGTGTCCATCAAGATAGAAGATAAGACCGGAAATTGATCATACACATTAACACCATCTTGTTCATATGCATTTTGCAGTATCAATACGCGGGTATGTGTCATAGCTGCGACAACAAAAACGCGACAGTGCGCACGTGCCGGTGGTGGCATAGGACCGTGTCGTACGGCCTGAGTGTTTCCTAGCACCGTCAGTAGCAACAGGAAAAGGCCACGTCTCCCCATATTGACAAATTGGATGATTGCATTTTTCAGGTAGACTACATCGACAAGATGTGGTGCACACAATCCTTCCGTATTGAGCATTACAGTTAAGAAGCATGACCGAGTCGTCGGGGCCGCGCTTCTTGCTTCGCGCCTGCGTGTTTCTTCTCGTACTCATTGGTAGTCTTCTTCAGTTAGTATTTTTTACTTTATTGCCACAAATTGAGCTGCATACGGAATTTTGCAATGCCACATTGGCTTCGCGGTCGCTACTGGCGCCTACACCAACAAGTGCAGAGCTGTTACCGCCTATGAAACTGCTATTTCAGTCGCTTTACGTGTCTCCACGCGAACTCGCATTGCAACAGAAGGAGGAAGAGCGACGACGCAATGAACAAATTCAAGACCCAAAGCAGACAATCCGTGGAAAGCTTCACACCGGTCCATACGCTCAGCTAAATGGCTTTCGTAATCCTCTGTGGGGTGACGACAAGACCGTTCAACTTGATGCATTAGCTGAAACTTCGGTGCTTCAATCACCAGAATATGCTCAAATGGAAGAAGAGATGGAACATCAACGTCAGATGAAACTAACTTCAGGATTCTTTCTGCAGACGAGAGGTCAAGGTCACGAAGCTATTATCTCTAAGGCCGCGTACTGCATCAACGTCGTCATGCCTAACGATTCGCCTGGTGTATTGCTAGACTTTGAGTTGTATCTAAATGCGTTACCGTCGGCACGCCCCGTATACTCGTATAAAGGAAATGGTGAACAAGAAGGCGAGAATCATAGTGACGATGAAATACAATCAAAGCGACTGGATATGCCCCCGTCTGTTATTGATATTTATTTGGAGCGACATCCTGTTGACAAGAAATACTATCCTGATTTTCATGCACCAAAAGAAAAGACAATTTGGATGATGCAGAATGTAGAATTTTTTGATCGACATGAGTTGGACAATCCCGCAGTTGGGGTTATGATGGTGAAAAACCGTATTGGACTGAAAAAAGTGCTTGAATACAGGCATCGACATCAACTTTTGTATTCTGTGTTTTACACAAAACACACGAGTCGCGACTTATATCAGCCTGCTGTACAGCGGGATTGGACATCTTTTTTACATCTAGCCGGTTGGAGTCCATTTAAGAACACAAAAGTTATTTTACAAGCGTGGGCACTGCATCCAGAATGGCCACAACTGATTATTCGAGTGATTAAAGCAAGTTTGTGCAAGTGGATTGAAGATCATTTTGGTGACAAAGACTCGTGGCGACTTCAAAATGTAGATTATGCTTGTGGTTCAGTACCAGCTGAAGAAAAGGATCAATTGCAAAACCAAATTGGTCTTCATTTATGTCCAAGCGAAACAGAAGGATTTGGTCATTACATTAATGAGGCTCGAAGTGTTGGTGCACTTATCTTGACATCAAATGTTCCGCCAATGAACGAGCTTGTAGATGACCTGAACGGCGTGCTAGTAGGAAGACCGCATCCATGGTGGTGGCAGACAAAGGGAGACTTATTTATGCCATTAGCACAAGTGGACGTGGCCGATATTGAACAAGGTATTGAGCAAATACTGCTGCTTTCTATAGAAGAGCGTCAACGAATGGGCCGACGATCGCGGGCTAAGTTCTTGGAAGACCGCGTTTACTTTCTAAATGCAATGGCTGCACTGGAAGAAAGCCTTTGCCAGGACGAGATCCGAATTGAAAAGTTACAGCCTTATCTGTATTAGCGACATGGGATTGCTCCATGTTGCCTTCGAGCTCAGATAGATAGAGATATAGAACCTACTTCGCAGTCGAACTTCTGATCCTTTTCTCGAAAATTTCAGTTTATTAAAGGGCAGCAATATGTTTGACAATGGAATTACTATGTATGTGCAACGAGTTGTTCGTTTAATGCATCGCTTGATCTGGGATTCCTATGGTCGTAAAATACACTAAAATTGAGTTAAATCGAATACATATTTTTGGTGTATTTGTCATAATTATGCATTATATAATATTTGGCTCATAAGCATAATTTTAGGCTCGAACTTTTAAGACCGCTTCGCTAGCATATACGTGGCGATCGTTCTGTTGTTAAAACATGATTAATAGTCAATAGATATAGTCAAGTAGTCAAGCTTATGAGTTTTGAGTGGTTTGCTCAGCGGGTCGCTACTTGCTTGATGTGTATCACTTGGATTGAGATGGTATTTGACATTGATCTACACTAAACACAATAAATATGATGAATTGTACCAATTGAGATGAAGGCGTCAGGTTCGGAGGTGACATTCTTGAGACCGCAATCCACAATCAGTTTTGTATCTCTAGATGAAAGTATCGGCGCTGCAGTGGCGACTGCATCTAACATTATTAAAAGCATAAGTTGTCTCAGATAGAACGGGTTACATTTCGAAACACAGGTCATTGGTTGCCGAGTTTGGCGTCATTCTACAACTCAAACTAAGTCAAGTCGGCAGAATGCGTGGGGCGACATCAACTCTAGTATTGAGCTGTTCCTCATCATTCTCACCCTATAGAGTTTCATCAATTCCTGCATTGACGACTAGCACCCTTACAGTAATATTTGGATTGGTCCCGTCATTCAACTACTGGCTGCAAACTTTGCGTTTAGTTACTTCTACATCTCACTTTCAGCTTACCTGATAGGGCTGCTGCGTACTTCACACAGAGAAAGCTCTGACTCTTAAAATCCGTGTTCAGCAACGCTTAGCGGATGTACTTTTCCGCAATCGCCAGGCGCCGAACCGAAAACCTCTTCGGCATAAAAACACTTTGTTTGCTCCAATGTCACGAGTGACATACTTGAAATCACATTACGTTTGAAGTCGAATGAAGTTCCTTGTTTGATGCATTGCGTGAGACCAGCAGTCCTCGTGATCCACGTTCCTCTTTACCAAGGAGAACTATCACTCTCTGACGATCGAGTTCGAATACGACGAATATTTTCCTGAGAATAAGTTATGATGTGTTTAAATATATGTCACATAACAAGACACACTAAACGAGATATTGTCTCTAGTTGGTCTCGAGGGAGTAGTGAATATATGGCCCGAGGTCTGGGAAACTTATCACTGCCCTATGGACGCTTGCTAGCCATATAAATGCGCGGCGAGACACAGGGATCTCCCGGCCAGACGTCTGAGAGAGCCGAATGGAATGCCTCATTGCTCAATAAGGTGATGTCGCTATTGCGAATCGTCCAGCCCTTTGAAGGCAAAATTAATAGATTTCCTATCAAAACGAGTTGCTGAAATGGCCATATATTCGGCCCTGCTTTAGACGGCCGCTACGATGTATGTATCGCCTCAACAATGTACGACGTCAGCATCGTGACATGCAACGATTCAATTTCAATGCGACGCGAAAGCGCATCCACCACCACATTTAGCCGACTCAGCTTATACCTAACCTCGGAGTTACGCTGGCAAAAAAAATAATCTTGTCACCCTCTAAGAGATGTCGCCGTTTTTAAAGGCGCGTCGTCTGCATAGAGTCCAAGTGCTAGAGCTAAGGAGCTGTATTTCGAACCTGAAAAGTGCATGCGTAACAGCGAGAAATTCATTGTTATGTACTGGGTATTTATTATCTGACGACCCAAGCTGCACTTTTCAAGCGCGATGATGCATTTTAGTTCACTGACATCTGCAAGGAGAAAGGACAATCTCTAGCAAGGGCTGAGATGTCTTTGATAAGATGTTCATGCCTGTTCGGATTCGAAAGTGCCAGAATGGGTGTATTTATGAGTGTTGGAGATCCATCGCTCCTGTAGCTCTCCAGAGCGACAAATACTCTCATAATGTAGATTGGTAACATATGGTGCCACGTCGGCATCATTCTCATAACACTTGTGCAAGTGGTCGACCAGGTAAGGCCACCGACTCGATTTTCGTTGGAACAGCAGCATCAAGCAATCTACTTTGGCCTAGACTTTTGCAGAACCTGCTAGCCAATTGTTTTTCCAAATATATCATATCCATCGCCGGCACCAAAAATCACAGGACGATCCTGGCTAACATTTTTATATGTACACACCCCACATCGAATTTCCCAGGTTATGCTAGACGATCGACGGATAAATTGTGGGACTGGAGGCTTGCATAGGCACACGGGTCTTTGAACTCCGCGGCTCCAGACAATTGAGTGTCGCTGGTACGTTAGGTAGTCCCTGGGTGATCCTAGTCGAAGGTAAAGAATTTAGCTTGGCTAACTTACTGCAAAAAGCGTTATACAACGGTCGCTCGTCAACATTTGATAATACCCATCAACCAGGTGAAGGGGGATAAATAAAATGCAGCTCAATATACCTTTCGGTATCACTCCCTATCTAGGCTTGTGCCGAAATCGGGACTGCTTTCAGCTTATTATTAGCATGCACAATTCACGAATTTCCATTAGCCATTTGGATACAGAGAACTTATGCTTAATGCCTCTCGTTCATCAAATCTGTTTGTTCTTCGTACGAAAAACGTCAATGACGTCACAGTAATGGCTATTACCGTGTAGTGCAATATTTGGCTTCAGGGGTTCACCTAAATCGCGCTACACACTCCTTTTGGGGGGATACACGTTGCTGGGCTCGTTTCACCACGCCGTGGTATTCCTTGAATAAGGAAAATACAATCCGTAGGATTTTTTATGGTAACTGTCTCACTCTTCACACACAGCGCTCTGCAAGTGTGTTCGATGATAGATTAATAAAGATGGATAATGAGTTCAGCAATACTAATCGAATCATTTCAGTACGGTCTTACAACTCTTTGTAAACATCGCCTATGAAAAAATTTTCAAACCGAATGAGAGAATCGATGTGACGGGTTACACGTTCCCTGGTATAAAGAGGTGGATGGTGTGACCGCACAATGATATGGCTTCACCATAACAAGAAGCCACTACGTGGCTGGACTGCCAGTAGTTATGCATTATAATTAGGTTTACATTTTCATAAGGAGAACCGATAGATTCAGATGAAGGTTGCTCTGCAGCAAACAAAACAAGTGAAACCAGTTACATTTTTGGCGAAAGAGTTTATTTGACTTGGGTTAAGGTTGTGGCTACTCTTGGAGTATGCGGATTGCGATCCGCTACACTCGTACTGGTTCGAGTATAGAATGTAAGGTCGGTAGCGTAAGCTTAGCTTTCACTAAGCAAAAGAGCTATGGCAGCTCTGCGCCACTTGGTAGCACTCGTAGTCAATCTACACCTAAGTCGTTACGACTGATTCTCTTTGAGGATGGAGCGATTCTAGTATTTGGCTTAGGGCATGCAGGACGGGCTTAAAAGCTGATGTCTCTGTTTGGCCCTAAGGGCGTGCAGCACTTCGCTTCGCAAGGCCCTGAAGCGATCAGCGCGCGCCTAGGGGCGTTTATAACTATGAAAATGCAATGCTTGAGCACCTATAGCAGAAGGTGTCGGCGTCGACTGCGTCCATGATGCCACCGCCGACGACGGATGACTCCGCTCGATCCAAGTCGCTCTTGGTGAGGTTTACGACCTTCAAGGATAAAACTGGAGAATATCTCCTGCTTTTGGTGAGATAGGTCGAGACGGCTATGGCATCCGCCATGTATCAGACCGAGCAGCAGCGCGTGGCACTAGCTATCAACAAGTTCGGGGGTCGAGCGCAAGAATGCGCTCTCACGTGCGGCACTTCGGTTAAAGCGGCGTTTTCTTCCTAGACGGTGCTGAAGCTGCAGCTTTTATGAGTATTCTCGCCGCTTAACCAGGCATATCGCGTGCGAACGCGTTTCCTTGCCGCCAAACAGAGCAAGAAAGAATTGGTGGACATTTTTAACGTAGCGTACTCCCATCGCCGAGATGGCAGCCGATCCTCTCCCTGAGGCGGTCATAGTGACCGTCTTTATGGAGGGCCTCCGCACTGGCTTGGCCAGAAAGAAAGTCTTCCGTGCGCATCCGTCTTCGTTTGACAAAGCGGTGAATGAGTCATTGAATGCCGAATTCGACTCCAAGTCGGCGCGACTTGGTCGAAATGCAAACTTTACAGCTCGTCGAGCGGGTCTGAGCTAATGGATCTCAGCTATGCTGAGAAAAAGGAGGCAGGGCTTCGGGATGCCTGGGAGCGCTCGAACTCCGACGGTGTTTTGTCTGTGGAAACACCCGTCGCCTTCTGGCTGGTTGTTTCCCGTGCAAGGCGAGATGATTCATCGAACCGACGTCCCGCGTCTCATCAGTCTTTTTGTTGAAACAACAACAACCAGTAGACGCGGGGCGCCCTACTGAAGAATTATTGAGTTCTGTTGAGCCTTAAAGAGGTAGAGGGCAGCAGAGCCCAGTTTCGAAGATTTCCGTGCTCTTGAACACGTAATGTCGGGCTTGCTGGTCGTAAAAACGACCGTGAAGGGATTTGAGAAGTCATGGAACATCCTGGTCGACTCCGGGGTGTCGGGAAATTATGCTTGGCGTTCCACAGTAAAGGAAGTCAGCTGTATGCAGAGGCGCTGAAAGCGCGGTTGAGTGACATCGTCACTGTTTGCTTAGCGGTCACGGTGCCATGGATCTCTGCGGACCTCGGTGTCAACTTACTTGACTTTAATAGAGTGAAACGCTGCTTAGTCTTAGACTTGGATTCAAAGTATGACCTCATCCTTGATATGGCATGGTTGAAAATCGTGAGCCTCGGAGGTCGAAGGCCTTGGTCGCTACGCACACGTCTCCTGGTGGAGCTTTGGTGAGTCATAAACCCACCTCTGCTTGGAGACAGAAA